GAAGCTATGCGGTCCTCCTCTGGCCTTCTTATTAGTGAACAAAAATACACTAAGTCGTACTAACATGCAAGATGCAAGCCCTGTGCCCACTCCCATCTCTCCTAATGACACTCTTTGTTTACATGACGGATCCCCTTCTCATGATCCAACGGAGTATCGTAGTGTTCTCGGTGCTCTTCAATACTTATCATTCACCCGTCCTGACATCAACTTTGTGGTTAACAAGTTGGCACAATTTATGCACTGCCCTTCTTCTCTTCACTGGCAGGCTGTGAAACGTGTTCTCCGCTACCTTAAGGGCACTTCTCATTATGGTCCCCACATTTCTGCTTAAACCCCTCTATCCTTGCATGGCTTTGCTACGCTGACTGGGCTGGTGATATTGATATTTGACACTCCACATCTGCTTATGTTATTTTCATTGGCCGAAATCCAATTAGCTGGAGCTCCAAGAAACAAACCACTGTTGCCCGGTCCTCCACGGAGGCTGAATACCGTGCTATTGCTGGGGCAACCGCTGAACTCCTTTGGATCCGCAATCTACTTAGCGAACTACATTTTTCTTCCTGCTCCACTCCAACAGTCTATTGTGATAATATTAGTGCCACATACGTCTGCGCCAATCCCGTGTTTCACTCTCGCATGAAACATGTAGCTATTGATTTTCACTTGGTTCATGAACAAGTAGCTAATGGATCTCTCCGAGTAACTCATGTTTCCACTACTGAACAGCTTGCTGATTCTCTTACTAAACCTCTCACACGGAAGCTTTTTCTTTTTCATCGGTCCAAGCTTGGCATCCCTCTTGGATCCCTTCACTTGCGGGGGCATGATATATATTATAATATCTAATGTATTTATTAATTAAAGTATTACTTAGCTTGTACTTATCTCTTTGTAGTTCGGTTGTATTAGATAGAATACTATCCCTGTAAATCATATACTCCGGCCATCCTTATCACATGTAACTACCTGAGAGTTTAGTGCGAATATATCAATATACGGAGTATATGGCCAGCTAATCTATACAATTGGTTAAGCCTTTTCAGCCACTTTATCATCTTTCACTTCATACTCTACATGTACGATTGTACGAATTGAAGTAATACGTACTTCCGGATTCCCAACTTTTGGAAGTCGTTTGGCAACACTGTTTTTTGACTTATCATCCAACATTTTACCAAACATGTAACATTTGCTTTCGCGTGCTAAATTCTGTAATAAGCAGAAAAAGTAAGGTAGGAGTTACTTTTCTGGATGTATTGGCCGAAATTACTGTAGATGATCATTTTAGCTTTTTTTACATATAATTTTTTCTTTATTTTATTAATAAAATATATTTTAAAAATAATTTCTTCTTATATTAGCATAATCGGCCAATGCAGTCACTTCAGCCAGAACTTCATAAATTTCAGCAGAATCAGCCAAATCAGTCCATTTTCGTGCTACCAAACGGGCTCTTGGTCTTTTTCGTTTCTTTTTCTTTCTTTTTACTTCATATATGTTGTCTTACACTATGAGGCCGTTTGACAATACTGTTTTTCGACTTATCAAGCTTATTAGTCAACTTTTTCATCAAACACGTAACTTTTATTTTCGCGCGCTGAATTGTGTAATAAGTAGAAAAAGTAAGGTTGAAATTACTTTTCTGGCTGTATTGGCTGAAGTTACTGTAAATGACCATTTTAGCTATTTTACATGTAATTTTTTCTTTATTTTATTAATAAAACTTAAGCCAATGCAGCCAATACATTTTTTTCTTTATTTTTACAAAAAATACTAGACTTAGAGCCCGTTTGGTAGCACGAAAATCGGCTGATTTGACTGATTCTGCTAAAATTTATGAAGTTCTGGCTGAAGTGGCTGGTTCTGGTGATTTAAGAAAAAAATAATTTTAAAATATTTTTTATTAATAAAATAATAAAAAAATTATTTGTAAAATGGCTAAAATGGTCATCAATGATAACTTCAGCCAATACAGCCAGAAAAGTAACTCCAACCTTACTTTTTCTGCTTATTACACAATTCAACGCGCGAAAGCAAAAATTACGTGTTTGGTGAAAAAATTGACTGATAAGCCGAAAAACAGTATTACCAAATGGCCTCTTAGTATACAAATAATTTGAGAGGAGTACATTGGCTTTAAAATATTCGTAGTACGGAGTATTTAAATAAGGCCTTTTTATTCTAATATTACTAAAATGAATGAAGAAGATAAAAAAAAGTGACCTCTTTTAAATTTTTCCACAAATGTGACTAAAAGTCACTTTTTATGTAGATGCACATTATAACAAAATGATTTGTCAAACACGTAACATAATTACCAAACAATATGAACCCGAAAGTTGGGAATTAAAACACAAACTGAATATCCAAGATCAAAATCCTAACATAACATTTTAAAACAAACGTCAAACAAAATGATATAGTATGGTCACTAGTAACCTTGCCAAAGAAAGCAGCAAGATCTCATCATGTACATGGTTACTAGTCGCCCTTTCTTCTAAAAGAGCAGCCCTCAGTGAGTCTGGCACGTCCACCCGTTGGCTGGCATTGGACTGTCTGGCAGTTCCCACACATAACAACAGTCTGAGAATGGTTGAAAACAGTTGTTATGTTAAAGCAACCTTGACACTTCACATCCATTGATCCATAAAGAAAGAGTTCGGGGATGGTACGAGACGCTTGAGCTTGTGCTTTCTTTTCTGATCTTCAAAAGAAGGGTTTAGCAGATCGAGATCGTTTGAGATATTCATTTTGTGAAAGGAAGCCGAGAATTTGAAACGCCAGAACGCCGATCAAAGAAGAGTACTCGATAAGGATGCAGCAAATGTGCCATGACTAAAAGTCATTTATTCCTTATATTTAATCATATATTTATTTTTTGATATTCCTTTTATACATTTGTAGGCACCAGCACCTCCGGACCCGACCCCAGCACCACCACTGCCGCCGTCACCGGCACCGCCGCCGGCAGTCACTATCTCAGTGACTCCGGCCAAAGTGACTTCGGCCACAGTGACTACCCACCGGCCACAGTGATTTCCCAACCGGCCACAGTGACTGCCCAATGGGCCATAGTGACTGCCCACTGGCCACAATGACTGCTCACCGGTCACAGTGACTGTCCACCGGCCACAGTGACTGCCCACCGGTCACAGTGACTGTCCACCGGTCACAGTGACTATCCACCGGCCATAGTGACTGCCCACCGAAAACAGTGACACCTCTGCAGTGACATCCCTGTAGGGACAACTCACAGTGACACACAATTGCTCCGACCACAATTCTTTCCGGCCACCACCAATCACCACCGCCATCCCACCGCAATTGTGTGACCCAATATTGCCTACTTCCACTTCTCCTCCCCATCCCAACACCCCCAGGCCCCAGCAGCAGAAAAATCTCTGCCGCAGCCCCTGCCCCCTCTACCCTAGCCCCCCAACCACATCCCAAGCCTGGACTCCAACTAGCTGGCCTCGTTCAACCCTCCCCAGTCCCCACGTCGACCTTCCACGACCCCTCCCTGGCCTTCCACCCCCATGCCGCCATGACCAAACCACACCATCACCCAACGATGCACCCCCACTACCCCAGACCCAAACCCTAACAGCCTATAACCTCACCATTTCCGCCTCCCAATAATGAGATCTATTGATCTCAAATAAGCGAAGAAGAATGGAGTAGGGAATGCGACGAAGTTGGCAGAGGTGGGGGTTGCGGTTGAGAGGGGCGATGGTTGGTGGAGGCGGCAGAACAGCAACGATGGAGCGTGCGCAGGGAAGGACCTTCGTCGGATCTGGGAGAGGAAGACGACGATCTGAAAGAAGAAGAGAAGTTTCGTCCAATCTTCCGCACAACAACAATTGAGGAGCTCAGAGATGTCCGATATTGGAGAAGACTTCGTCCGATTTCCGCAGAGCAAGGGTGGAACGCAGAGATCCGATTAGGGGAAGACTTCGTCGAGCGCAGAGGAGCAAGGGTCAGAGACGAACACATGTTTTGGGGGTTAGGACGGAACTTTTTTTGGAAAAAAATCAAAATGGTTATATTTTTGGAAATGAAAAGTTGAGCAATTATACGCCTGCCATTATTTCTTTAAATAACAACCGGTTTGTACTTCACCAAAGTTACAACCAATCCAATTCTACACGTACTGAGCAAGTCAACATGTAGTTGGGTTAATAGCAGCTCAATTAGATGTTTAATGTTGGTGGGATAGATGGGCGAAGCTATCTAGCCAGGGGAAAGACACATGCATCCAATTTTCATAATTTCTAAGGATGTTTTTATTTGGAGACTGTTTTTAGTCTCACATTAGACCAGACCTGACTGAAACAAATCAGATCAGACCAGACTTAAACAAAGCAGACAGATTAGACTTAAACAAAGCAGATCAGACCAGACTTAGGGTCTGTTTGCAACAACTTCTGCTTTTAAAAAAGTGCTTTTTTTAATGAAATGGGGAGAAGTGATTAAATAAAAGTTGATAGTGTTTGAGAAAAAAGTGATTTTGAAAAGTAAAAGTGGGTAGTGTTTGATAAAATAAGTGTTTTTTGTGTAATGGAAAAAGTAAAAGCACTTTTGCCGCGGAAATCGTGAAAAATAAAAGTTGTAGTGTTTGGGAAAATAAGTGCTTTTTTAAAACCAAAAGCTGAGAAGTCCTTTTTTAAAAGGAGTTGCAAATCAACCCTTAAACAGACCATATCAGACCAGACTTTACTTCCGTAGTTAGAAAATACACAGAGACCAGACGTTAACCAAATCAGACCAGACCAGTTCAGACCAGACCAGACATAAACATACCAGACAAGCAAATTACGGTCCAAGTAAAAACATCCTAATTAATGCATCCAATGACTGATCACGTGATTAATTTTCCAAAAAGTTAGGTGAAATGTACGTTTAGAGTTGATCTAGCTATATGAACCGCCAAAAATTTCGTCAAATTTTGTTTATAAATCACACATTTCAGACATATAAATATAATTTTATTGCAGAGCGTGAAGCAATCGTCTTTTTTTGGAGAGGATAAGTTAAAGGTGACCGTGCAGCCAAACGTGGATCAAGCCTTCGTTGTTTCTCTACTAATGATTCAAGAGGAAATAAATCGCCGTAAAGATGACTCTGAAGACTCTGACGATGAAGAAGATTGAAGATCGAAGACTAAATAACAAGTACGAACAAGTACGAAGTACTACGTATTTCATAATCTTATAAATTCAATTATTTGTCCAACAGGACTTTTACGAACTCATCTGTTTTTGTCGTACATTCTCTGACATTTGACATTTATATTGCATTTAATTTAATTTATATTTCTATGATTGATTGATGTTTCATTCTAAAAAGACCTTGAGAGACCAAGAATGATTTTAATTAAGTGCTCCAAGTAAGGTAATCTTCTACCGCCTTCAGTTTGATCGTGACACTCTGCGAGACGGTGGTGATATGCGACCCAGACTGAGCCAGATATTCCATCGGAGAGCCAAACCATAGCTAGTCCGGGGGGGGGGGGGGGGGACTACACTTGGTGAGCCAGAAGAGCCAAAGAATGGAGATGCAGCCGCCGGAGGAGGAGGAAAAGCGCCCAGGGACTGCACTGTGGCCGACTACCATGGAAAGTGAGGCGGCAACGACTAAAACAGGGAACATGGTTTGGCCGTTAAGAATTGATGCGGCGGCGGGAAGCATGAAATCAAGGCCGATGATGGTGGCCGCTGCACTGGTGGTGAACTAGTGGCGCCTGAAAGTGGATCAGTAGACAACACAAAGAGGACAATCATGACTGCATTGTAATACTGGTATTGGGATTGGTATCTTCCGGTGCTGTTGAGATATTGGTTGCGGCGGAATAGGTCATGGTGGAGGAAGTCATGGCTGCAGATGAGTCAAACACGGAAGAGGTCATTGCAGCGACTGTAATCGTAAGGAAACAAAGAGAGAAAATTAGGTCTGATGACTGGGCTCTTGATACCATGTGAAATAATGGAAATTGATACTCCAATAGAAGTCCCGACAGATATATTTATAATGAAATATGAGTTGTCAAAATACACAAGGATTTCTAAAATATACGAAGTATAAATTACTAGTTTCATGTTTGATATATTGGGTTCGTATGTTTTCTTTATTCGTAGAGATGAAGCACCGATCGTATATGATAAATTATAAATCACATTTCTTTTTTTATTTATTTATGTAATTTCGGGTTCATCTGATTTACCCTTTATTTTGCATTCCTATTATTTATTTATTTATTTATTTTTATTTAAACACCCTCATATATAGTGCATTAGTGCCCAAGCTAAGGATGAGTGTGAAAGAATATTAAAGGTAAATTATGAAATAAAATGTCAAACCAAATGAAAAACTCTATTGTGAAATTAAATACTACTACCTTCGTGATAGAGTATTAATCTATAGAGAAGTGAGAGTTAGAGAGAGAAAGTACTAGTAATTAATATTTCTCAACCCGTATAACTATCCCCTAGGGGGCTATTTATAGGGAAAATGTGGGTTTGGGCTCCCAGAACTTGGGCCTTGGAGGCCCAGTACAAAATAATGTCTCTAATGGGCTGAGTGTCACGCCCCGGACCTCCCCGGACACGTCAACAACCCGCCGTACAATACGAATAGTCAACCGCAGTCCAACACATTCATATTATACAAGGCGTCATGAATATCATTCACACATAAGTCATCCATAAACATACATAATAAACAATTGAATACGCAGCGGAAAACATTGTTTAAAACAAAAGGGCCACACAGGGCAAACATGAGCACGCAGGCTCTAAAGTAAAATATCCATGAGCATGTTTATTAATGTTCTAAAACAGAATGGAGGAAGCACGAACCAAGTCTTCTCTCCGGGGAAATCACTCGGGCAACGAGCACAGGAAGCAAGCTCTAGCCTCAACCTGAAATGGTGGTGGGACGCCCCCGAAGGGGTCAGTACTCTATACGGCTATAAAGTACTGGTGTGGCAGGCATCTAATAGATATACAACAAGTATTTCAAGCACAAGACCCTCAAATAGGGTGATAGTATATTATGATTGTAACCCTAAGTTACCCATTTGAAAATATACTTACTTTAGGTAAAAGTCAAGTAGTCGGCCCGTGGGCCCATGTTCATTTAGAAATCACCATTCCCATTTCCCGTGGCTACAAGCCACGATACTCAATAGAGTCCAACCCTAACACATGACATTGTATTCTAGAGCTCGGCTCTACTACATCACCATACAATTCATGTCACTCGGGTCAATTCCTTACCTTGCGTTCTAGAGCTCGGCTCTATTACATCACCACGCAAGCCCTAGAGCTCGGCTCTAGCTATACAATACATAGACTACAAGTCTACACCTTACATGCATTCTAGAGCTCGGCTCTACTACATCACCATGCATTAAGGTCCAATTCTCAAGCAACCCTATGCCTAGAATTGACATATCATTAAACTGCCATGGGTCATCCTTAAAGACTTCCCATAACTTAACCTTAGTTCCATACTAAGTTATTATATACACTTGAACTATATTCAAGCACCTTTCATACAATCCAATCCCTAGGATCAATTTAATCAACAAGTTCCAATAATCACTAACTAGTATTTCAATACTATTAAGATTATTGCTATCAAACCATTATCCTTGTTATTTGTAATTCTCTACATATTTATAATTATGTAGCAGCAACTTAAACATTCATTCTCAATACACAAATATTCATTTATGTATCCACATAATTCATACATGAGAAAAATGCCCATTTTCACAAATAGTTCATTTATACTCATTTAATCTCATATTATTCATACCTTCTCAAATCATTTCAAATTTCATTCTTTGGCAACTATATCAATATTTCATCAATATATAATCATCATAATCCATGAAAAATCATGATTTAAGCATTTAGGTAATCTCATGCTTAACCTACAAGTTGTAAGCAATTAGATGTCAATCCTCACCTCAATTGAGCTTTAAACTTTCTCTTCTTGGTCCAACGGTCAAATCTTTGGTCAAGGTGGATTTGGGACTGATTCCTTGCTCAAATATGAGTGTTAAACAGCCTCCTCAAAGTGCTAGTTCAACCCTTAATCGTTGATACGAAAACAGCCCCTAGAACGGGTGTTTTCCGGCTAACTCGATTCCTAGTTTTCCAATATTTGCATCTAGGTTAGTATCTAACCTTTACATCAATAAAATAACTTTATAAGGACATATTATACACTTGGATTAGTGTATAATAGTCTCACCAATCGTTCATATCATTTGGAGAATGAAAAGTAAAGCTTTGGGGTTAAAACTCACTTTAGAGGATTAAATCCTCTCCTGCGAGGTTGCGTTTTTCTCGGACGATTTGGAAGCCTTCCACAACTCCGATTCCTGCAAACCAGGCCTTCACAGATTCCTCGTCTTGAGAGCTTTCTTTTGGTATATCATACGCCTTATTTGGACGAGTGAAGCTCAAGTTATGGATCAAACAAGAGACCCTATCTGCTGGAAAACGAATCCTGCGGCCAGCTTCTCTCTTCTCTTCTCTCTTGGAATATGTGGCTCCCTCTTTCTCTCTTATCTTGGGAGTTCGAATGGGGTGTAGGGAAAATGTATTAGGAAGGCCTCAATCATGCTAAGAGAGCATGTGGTTCACAAAAAAGAAGGGTGGGGTATTTGATTGCAATCAAACATGGTATGGACCTCCTCTTTTATTTCCTTTTTGTAATGTTGTAGCTCATGAGTCAAAAGTCCGCCCCACATAGTTGTCTCATCCATTTTTCTTTGTCTTTGCAGGTACCAAGGTCATGTGGGATGGTTCCCAAATGATCCCATTTAATTTGGGGTCCAAAATATCTACCAATACCTCCAAAAATGGGAAGATGGGTCCTATTGTTTTATCTTTGTCAAAAGATGTCTTTTTTTTTTGTACTTATTCTAACTTATTTAGAGCAAGTCAACTTCCTAAATCACATTATTGATCTCCAATATGTGTAGGCTCATCCCAATAATTTACACGATGAAAATTACAAAAGAATGCGGGTTTGAACAATACAATATTCAATCATGTACTTCGTAAAATATTAATCGTTTCTTCCATTGCTTTGAAATCGGAAATTCAATACATCACTTTTGAATTTTTAAATCGAATTTTCAAGGACGTTCGGGTGCGGTGTCACAAGTTCACCCCCCCTTAACAGGAATTTCGTCCCCGAAATTCACAGCTCTACTCGAATAGGAAAGCATACTGCTTCCTCATCAAAGCCTCCGTTTCCCATGTCTCTTCCTCGACCCGATCGCTCTTCCACAGGACTTTAACCATTGAGACTTCTTTGCTCCTCAGCTTCTTCACCTTTCTATCGGTGACTTTGATAGGTTGAACAGCGTAGTTCAAATCCTCACGTACCTCTACAGGTGGCTTCTCCAATACGTGAGAGGGATCATGCACGTACTTCTTAAGCATGGATACATGAAACACATTATGTATCTTCTCTAACTCAGGAGTCAATTGTAGACGATATGCAACGGCCCCAATCCTCTCTATAATTCTGAATGGACCTATATATCGTGGGTTAAGTTTTCCTCGGGTTTGGAACCGAATGATCCCTTTCCAAGGAGAAACTTTCAAGAATACCTCGTCATCAACCTTAAACTCTAAGGTTCTTCGACGCTTATCAGCATAACTCTTTTGTCTATCCTGAGCCGCCTTGAGTCTCTCTCGAATTAACTTCACCTTTGATTTGGTGACCTCCACCAACTCAGTACCCTCGAGTTTGGCCATGCCAACCTCGTCCCAGCATAACGGTGTACGGCACCTCCTCCCATACAATGCCTCGTATGGAGGCATGCCGATGCTTGCCTGATAACTGTTGTTATAGGCAAACTCCACAAGTGCTAAGTGGTTGTCCCAACTCCCCTGGAACTCCAATGCACAAGCCCTCAGCATGTCTTCTAGGATCTGTATAACCCTTTCAGACTGCCCATCCGTCTGTGGATGGAAAGCAGTGCTGAACTTCAACTTCGTTCCCATAGACTCCTGGAATTTCGGCCAAAAACGTGATGTGAATCGTGGGTCTCTATCAGATACAATGGTCACCGGGACCCCATGCAGCCTCACGATCTCATCCGTATACAATTTGGCTAACCTCTCAAGTGGGTAGGTAGTGTTGATAGGCAAGAAGTGTGCACTCTTTGTGAGCCTATCCACAACGACCCAAACCGCGTCATAGTTCCTGATAGTCCGTGGTAAGCCTACCACGAAATCCATAGTCACGTGCTCCCACTTCCATTCAGGGATGGAGAGTGGTTGCAATAAGCCTGCTGGGTGCTGATGTTCTGCCTTAACTTGTTGACAAGTAAGGCACCGACTGATGTACTCGGCTATTTC